ATGTAGCACGATCTTGTTGGAACCGAAAGTCGTCCTCCAATTTGAGCGCTAAAAAGTAATTAATCATGGCTGTAACAATATGGCCAGAGTCATTTTTGAAGAAATAAGGAGCAATGATACCTTCTGTCCATAGAGTTTTGGAGGATCTAATGGCGTTTCCCCAAAGGCTTGTGGATTATTTTTACTCCAAATGCGACAAGTTTGTTAAATGACGTTCCCATTCAACCAAACGTGAGCTTCATCGCTAAACAAAATTTTCTTATGAAAATCGTAATCATGGTCACCGGTCTTCTTTTTGGTCCATTCACCGAACGAGCGAAGCGCTTGATGGTCGATTGGCTTAAATTTTTGCACGATTTGTAAGTTGTAAGTCCACAAATCATCCGGTTCTTCTTCGATACTCTGCTCCACAGCAGCAAAGGCGACTTCGTTGCACATTGTACGGTGTCTCTGAAGATGCGCATTAACCACTAGAGTAAATGGTGCGAAACCGACCCAAGGTAGATTGAATTACCAACTCTGCTGGGCGATTAAGTCGACAAAATACGAGTATTGGACGCATCGGGAGAACCATTATTTTAGTATTAAATTTGCACCATTTGCAAACGTTGTTCCAAAGTAAGTATGTTCATTATAAATAGCAATCCAAACAGAGTATAAATCAAGTAACAGCTGTAAAAACACCAACTCTGAAAAAAGTATTGCCTCATTGAAAACCAAACGTCTAAAATAACACTTTATTATTGACGCATACGAATACATAAGTATACATACCTATAGCTTAGGGCTTAGGTCTTAAGGCTTAACTATACATTTTTTTCCAATTTGAGAGTTTTAGTACGTTCAGGAGAGCAACAATTTATAATTTTTTATGAAGATACAATGAGAACCAAAATATATGTATGAGTAAAATCTTTTTATTTATATTGTGTACCATTAGTTTTGAACTTTATAAGAAAGAAAGTTGTGTAACATATGAAGTCTTCTTGATCACGTTATTACCGATTAAAGATTAAAAAATCCTTATTTTATAAAATATCCGAATTAAACTTCAGCCCAAAAGTACAAATAGACTTCTAAAGTTTTGGCTTACCTCTTCGTTACTTTAACTTTGAAAACAAACCTGAGATTCTCGATTGCATTCATATCGGGGTCATCGCCTGGTCAATTCAATTGATACCCCCTTCATTTAAATATTTTATTTATAATCCCATAGTTCGCCAATGAAACCCATACGTTGGTCTGCGAATTTCCTTTACCGATACTGTAGTGTGGAATCATTGACCTCGAACAAACCTGTATATTTTAATCAACGTCATTGAGTGCAACCATACTGTGTAGAAGAGAGTCCACGGTATTATAGTAAGTACTAAGAAGAAGATGAAGTAGAGCGAAGTTTACTTTGTATGGCTTGACTTCAAAAAAAACAACAGAGGGTGCCTAGAACATAAGAAATCTGTACATCGGTCGTCTGTTATTCATACCAAATACGAAAATCACACATGCTTTCCAAGAACAATTTTTCGAAAGGATGACCGTAATCGTATTTCTTACAAAAGTTAAATAATCATACAATATATATATAATATTATGCGTACAATGTGTTCTGCCCAGTCGGTCTACAGTTCATCAGAGAGGAGCTCGTATAGCAATTTGTAAAGGTGGAGAGCAAAGAGGGAGGGAATGGAACTTTTTTGAGCAGAGAAGTTAACACATATCTTTCTTATTAAGGAGATATTTTTCATGACGACAAAATACCAACCACAAGTCTATTAATAGGCCTCTATTAACTCAGTACCAATTTATGTTTTGGACGTTGGAAAGAAATTTTCTACACCGAAAATATAAGATAAAAACTCAAGTTTCCATAATCTTAAACAGTTACGCATTCTGGGTACCTCTTCCGCACAGAGGAATTACTGGCTCTTCTCTCCATTGTCTAGACCTAGAGAGAGCGATCAGGTCCTCCAAAATTCCTTAAGTATTTACAGCATCAATCCAATTGAAAGGAATTGCTATACTTAAAAATTTGTACCATAATACACTCAAATCCTAAGAAGACTTGTATATTGTACTTAAGTACATACATATGTCGCTTAATTAAAAGTTCTGAGATATTATTTTTAAACTAATTTTTTTTTTTTAAATCGTATCCAAAGAGTCGCCCAACAAGATTATATTTCATTTATTATACATCTGCTTGAATTGCTGGGAGTTTACTTGCCACCACCACCACCGCCACCGCCGCCGCCGCCGTAACGACCACCTCCGCCACCACCGCCGCCGCCGCCTCCGGGTAAGGGTTCTGGATTCGGCAAGGGTTTAGGGTTTGCTGCAATTTAAAAGAAATACAGCCAAATAAACAAATTCTCAAAGAAGATTATTATATATTGTATTTCATGATATTTTTACACTAAAGTAATACTCACCAAAAGCCAAAGCGAATATGGCCAATATAACAGCGAGGAATGCGTACAACTTCATCTTGAAGACAATGCGGAGACAATGATTCCACCAAAAGCCGATTGTGTTTTTATATACAAGTACGACGTATTTCTATCGTCCCTATCAACATACAAAGAAATCTTTTGGGAAAACCAAAATAAAAGTATTTGGACAAAACGAGTAGCCATTGCGTTATCGCTTTCACGTGACTGAGCTTTTGCATACGTACACATGTGTGGTATATACAAAGAGAAGGGAGTTCACCAATTCAGTGCACTCGATTCGATCTGCATACAAATGTATTTATGTACAAATAAGAGTCCCTTTATGATTATATAGCTTTGTGGTCGAGAACCAAGTATATTTATTTTTATAATAAAAGTCTGGGTTTTCCATTTGTATTTTTGGTTGAATGGGCAAGATATTTGATCTTCGAGCCGGTTGTATGTAGCTGCACGCATAAATAACCACACAGTTGTACTTATTGAATGCTCTATATTCTGTTTTCTCAGAATAATTTTTATATAAATACATAGCTACACACATTTACATACATGTGTACAGGTATAATGTTTGTGTTCTTAAGAAATATTAAATAATTATTTAGGAAAATATCTAAAGCTGATGGTGTCCGACGACACATGCCGAGGCTTTTTCTCCTTTTTGCTGCTATTTGGCTTCAAGTACCAGTAAGGCTTCCGTTGAAGTGTAACTGCAATCCGAACTCACCCACCGGGTACATTCTCGCCAAAGTTGATACAGCATTCTACCTTAGATTGCCTATTTGATAGTCTTCGCTTTTCTTTTATAGGTTTAGGAGAATGGTGCAATAGCCGACTTAAATTAAAAAACTGTTAAAAAAATATATGTTAGTTAACCAAAATCAAACAACAACTTATCGTATATTAATACCCACCGTAATCTAGTCATATTAGAACTCCTATGGGAATATAGGTAGGATTTTTAAGACCGAATTTCGAACATTTTTTTCGAAGTGTGTCGGAGATGAGTTGAAAGAGTACACTCACCTTTTAAGCTCTGTTAAGATTAATTTTAAAATTTTTCAACCTGAACAGAATATATTAAGTTTGCCACGAAGTTTGTAACACCCAGAAGAAAACGTCGGAGATGCTATATACTTACTTGACGATATATCTTCGCAAATTTTGGTCCATGGCAACGCTAAAATATCTGAAGAAATTTTCCAGATCGGACTATATTATATATATATATATAGCTGCCATACCAACTGAAAGATCGCAATCAAGTTTTTGTGAATAGTATTCTTGCTTAGGTGCAACCGAAATTTACGTTGTTTCTTGTTCTTTATTGAATTCGATTTGTTAGCCGCTTATATCTAAGCGGTGTAAGCCTCTTTCGATAATAAAGTTTCACAAAGTGTTTAGACTAGTTGCTTTTGGAACATTTCGTTGGTAAATCGGGGCAAAATCCGGTTAAGTTCAAGGTTAACTTCTACAATATTCAGAACACTATAATTATTGAAAGTGTCTGTACTCTTTGATAACTTTTATTAAGAAGCTGACTATCCTTTTGATGATGTTATCAACTGCACTATTGAAAAAGCTTCAAACTATCAGGAGAGTAATTGAAAATATTGAATCTACTTAACTAATTGAGTAAATCATGCTGTAATTCCTACTTAAATTATCACTATTTAAATTTAAATAAATACTATGCAACTCTGTACGTATATTAAAGAAACAGTCAGATGCGGGGTAAGTATTTTTAAATGCTGGCATATGGAGATATGAGGGATATTAGGTATAAGAAGATAGACCATGGTCATTTTATTCATATCTAAATAAATTTGAGTGTTGTTTTGACAATTTTTAGAAACTAAAACTAATCGAGTTAGATATAGGGTTATATATATATAAATGATCAGGATGAAGACATGAGTTGAAATCTCGGGTGACTGTCTGTCCGTCCGTCCGTTCGTCTGTGCAAGCTGTAACTTGAGTAAAAATTTAGACATCTTTATGAAACTTGGTACATATATTTCTTGGTAAGACGGTTGGTATTGCAGATGGGCATAATCGAACCACTGCCACGCTCACAAATTATCATAAACAAATAAATTGTCATAACTAAGTTCCACAATATGATAAAAGACTGTTATTTCGTATACGGAATCAAATTAGGGAGGGGTATCTGCAATTTAAATTATTTTAAAAAGTGGGCGTGGTCCCGCCCCCTAACAGGTTTAATATGCATATCTCCTAAACCGCTAAAGCTATAATAACGAAGTTCACTGGGAACAAACGGTTTTAGCACCTCTATCGGCAGTGTAAAAATGGATGAAATCGGGTGACAACTCCGCCCACTCCCCATATAACGGTACTGTTAAAAATTATTAAAAGCGCGATAAATCAAGCACTAAACACGCCAGAGACATTAAATTTTATCTCTGAGATAGTAGGAGATGACTTAATAGGAACCGTGTTCAAAATTAGTTGAAAACCCATATCTTGGGATCTGCTTAACGGATTTCAACCAAATTCGGTGCATAGGATTATTCTCATATTTTTATATTATAGTAAGTAAATCGGCGAAATCGGATTACAACCACGCCTATTTCTCATATAACACCATTTTAAATTAGACCTGATTCTTTCACTTTCCACTATACAAATCAAGCAATAAAGATTGTATCGGGGTAAAACTCTGCGTGAATAATGCGTTGATTGTTATATAATTGAGATTCGATATATTGTCGATATATAATTGAGATTCATATAATAAAATAAATAAATGAAACTTTCGATAATAGTATGTTTTTATGTCAAAAATGGTTTGAATCGGATCAATACTTTCTTTAACATAAAATTTTTCCAACACCTGAAGTAATATCCCGGCCTTTGATCCATGCAAGTTGCGAGAATATAAAATGTTCGGTTACACCCGAACTTAGAACTTCTTTTCTTGTGTTTGTTTTCTATTTAATACTACGAACACGAGCGTCTTACTTTTTTTAAAAAGAGAGCAGAAGCGAGCTTATCAGCTTATTAGTTTACACATTGGATGTGGTAAAAAAAATTAACACTCCATTCCTTTTTCTAACATAATTTGATTTCATACGAATTGTTAAAGTATACTTACAATGTTCGGCCGTACACGAACGAAGTTCTTCGTTACTTGTTTTTATCGGAAATTATCTTTGGCCTCCCGATGATAAACAACAAAAATGATGGGAGTGTACTGATGCCATCTGAGGGCCGGTTGCCCATAGCAATAAGTCGAACTGCTTCAAATTGCTCACTGTGTCACTTGTCCTCTCTTCTCTAATTCAATTCCCTTTCTTATTTTCAGCTATTCTACCCCCCTTAACTAATAGTTTAATATATGCATATACATAAGTATGTATATACTGAAAACTTAGAGACAACTTTGAATTTATTCATGGCTATTATAATCTATACTACTAATAGTCATACCCACATCATTACAAATGCCGTCGTTGTAAAGCTGAATAAATCTATTACTTTATGGAAATTAATGATTTTTGTAAATATAATAATAAGTTAATACTTTTTTAATTTTACTTTAATTATCTTGACAAACAAAACAATTTCATTTGCTATAACCGCCAGGTGAACCTGGATATCCTGGAGCACCGCCCCCTGCTCCTCCACCACCACCTCCGCCGCCTCCTCCACCATTACCACCAGGATGACCGGGCTGACCAGGCAGACCACCGGAGCCGCCGTAACCTCCACCGCCGGGTCCTCCAGCACCACCGTAGTCACCTATGCCGCCTTCTCGCCCACCAGCACCACCATAGGCGCCACCGCCCGGTCCACCAGCACCACCATAACCGCCAAAACCGGGTTGTCCCGATTGACCGGCTCCACCGCCATAGCCACCATAACCCACGCCCCCATCGCCACCGATTGAACCACCAAAGCCATTGTAACCGGCACCGCCAGCATATCCGGGCTGTCCGGGTTGGCCGGCACCAACACCATAACCACCCGCGCCGCCACCATATCCACCACCGCGTCCACCAGCACCCCCATAACTACCATAACCGGGTTGACCCGGCTGACCGTCATAGCCGCCACCACCTCCACCTCCGCCAGGCGATCGCTTGGCGCGTGGCGGTCCGACTGGACCCAGCCCAAGCGATATATAATTCACATCTTCAGCTCTCTTTGCACTTTCCACTTGCTGGGCTGTAATTAAAATACAACACAAAGTAATTAAAAATAATTGCCGTGCAAAAATGTTTTAAAAATATCTAAGTACATAAATCTTAAATGTACAATGTGCATTACCATTCACGGCATCACAACAAATGACTAACGCCAGCAGCGTACTCCCCACCGCCACCGCCGACAAACACCTGATTCTCCAACACCGCATCTTCCGACTCGTTTCAGTAGAAAATCGAAGTTCTGCCTTCAACTAAATACGAACGACTATTAAGCGGTGAACGTTTCGCGTACTTGTTTTATATATTCTGACATATTTGATTGCCCACTCCCCCTCCAAGTCCGTCAGTTTTAAGTGTTTCGGCACACACAAGCATATTTGTTTAGCAAAAAATTGGCGAGATGGTTAGTGAAGCATACGAAATTGATCCGAGGCAATTAATGGAATATGGATCAGGTTCTGCTAGACTTTTATGTTGCTTTTTATTAAAAAAGTGAGCGTAGCAGCAATGTTGCTTTGCATCTTGAATGCATCTTATATATACATGGTCTCGAACCTTAAAACCCTGTAGGGAATATGTACAAATGTTGTTACCATCATAGATGCAATTGTCTATCTTCACTTAGTGATGTTTAAAAAAATAGTCGAATCGCTCCATTTTAACACATTTTATGAGCTTAATCTATATTTTCCATAACGTCTGCAGATAGATTTTTCTACCGGTATCGGTCAAAGACGTTAAAATTAAAGGAAAATTGTTAAATATATAATCAATAATAAGAGGTTATCACAAATTCTATCCCGAAAGTAAACAAAGATTTTACTAAATTCTTATACAAAACTTGTCACGAGCTTGGAAACAATTAAATATCTGTTAGTATAAATTTTGGAATATATATCACATGTTTAACATAAAAGGACCATTAGCGCGATATATACAAACTTTTGCTGATCTCACCATGAAAACCTCTTCTGATATTTTCATAGCAAATAGCCTGAAAACGTTCAGGCAAGCATCTGAGTTTCCGAGATGGCTGGCGTGCTTACCATGTACATAAATATAAAGGGTGTTTTTTTTTAGAGGTATAGAACTTTAAATTGCAATAAAACAACGATCTTATTTATCCGAAAGATAATCTTGTGGCATTACATTTTAAATATGATTTCTGGTATATGACCGCCACGGCTGGCTTGGATGTAGTCCAATCTAGACGTCCAATTTTCGATGACTTTTTCCAACATTTGTCGCCGTGATATTGCCGATATATATAATGTTGTCTTCCAAATGGTTAAGCGTTTGTAGCTTATGCGCATTAGAGCAACATGATCTCTAAGTTTCATTAAGGTACCAAACATACCATCACCAATATATGCGAGATAAAGTTAACTGGATGTTTTGAAATCCTGATATTAGTTATATGGCGGCTAGGACAAGTTTTCACCCGATTTTATCCATTTTATGCACAAAGGTACATTGTTATTAGAAAAACATGACCTTTCAATATTTTTAAGATAACTCACATATTGACCTATATTTGCGATATAAAGTCAGCGATAATTTTTCTATTAGGTACGAAGTACGATAATTTTTCTATTAGGTAGATGAGGACTAAGGGAATTATTGTTCCGATTCAACCCATTTTAAGAACATGGACATATTATTATCAGATAAGGATTATCTCTGATTTCCTATAATATATCTCACGATTGACCGATATTTTCGATACAAAGTTTTCAATAGGAAGTGGGTCCATATATTCGGTACCCGGGGGCTTAAACCTTTTCAGTCTGATTTGAATAATTTTTGGTGACAAGGTGGCACACTTAAAAGTCCTAAATTTTATCCGGATACATTTTATGGTGCTTAATATGTATACAGAAAAGTAAAAAAATCAGAAGGAATTTAAAGTTTTGGTATATGAAAAGTAGGCGTGGTTGTAGTCCGATTTCGCCCATTTACGCACTGTTATGGAATGTTAGACAGCCTTCCCCTGTGATCGTGGGTGTAAAATTTTATATTTCTGAAGCATTTATTTATTTACAAACCCATTATATAGGAAATGGCGCGGTTATCATTCGATTTCAACCATTGTTACAATATATTGTGAAAGTATTTAAAAATAGTAATAGTAAGTCTTACGAAGAATTTTAACAATTCATATTTGATGCTTTTTTTATTAGACTTGGAATTAATTATTCCATAATTTTTATATGTATAGCTTTGACGTTTATTAACCGACTGAGTTGGTTATAAATCTTTTCTTAACCTCTATTCAGCACAGAATCATTTCACCCCAAAACAACGCACAGAAATTGTGACGTATTATCTTGAAAATAGTCTTTGTAATGGGGAATGGATAATTCGTACGATATCCATGTATCAATTGCAAACATTTATTATTTGGGTCGCCTGCATACATAAAAATTTTAAAAATTATCCTCTATTATTAAAGGTTCGACTTTGACCTCGCATAACATTGAATTTTCACCATATAATAATTTCTTCAAAGGAATCTAAGGATAACACTTTTTTTTACCAGCCTGATATGTATGTATGTGCGTACATAAATCCAATATGTTATGTGCATAAAGTGTAGCATTTTGAGAGTCCTTGGATATGCTTAATGCCCTTATTATAGATTGATGCAACTCATTATATTCCTTATACGGTACTTTTTATCCATAGCAAAGAAGATATATGTGAGTACATCCACCACAAATATATATAATCCGCGTCTCGGGTTATTTAAAAATATAAATATTTAAGTCTTACAACTAAATAAGTAAGGAAGGCTAAGCTCGGGTGTAATCGAACTATTTGTACTATAGCAATTTGTAAAGTTCAAAGGCGGGAAAATACTTTCGGGCATTGCAAAACTTTATAATAAACAAGTAAGGAAGTGTAACTGAACATTTGATACTTCCGCAAAGTTAAGGGATATACGGGATTTTCGTAAATATTTTAATTAAAAGTAGGAAGTATTGATAAACCATTTACAATCACAGGAAAAGGTTATTATTAGAAAGAGATTCTTTCGGAATTTCATTACGATTTTTACATATCATGTACACGGAAGTTCAAAAATATATTTATATCAAGTATATGGGAGCTAAGGGAAGTATGGCAAGGGCATGCTGTTATCACGAAATATTTTCCCCGAGATTCACTACTAGAAATCACAGACTGACCGATATGTCCGGTAAAATATCAGCTGTATGCACTGGGGTCGACGTATTTGATGTCTTGAAAGTTTGGTGAGTGTCTAATGGGAATGTTTGGGTAATCTCACACACCAAATTTGGTTGAAATTAGTCAAGTAGTTCCTGAGATATAGGTTTTCACCTAAAATTGGGCGCTTCCACGCCTATTGCCCAATTTTTACCCCGGATACTATAAAGCCATTCTTTGCCATCTTGGTTGTCGAATTTAATGCTTGCGGCTTATTTATTTAGTGAGTTATTGCATTTTTACTAATTTTTAATATAACCGTTTTATGGGGAGTGGGCGTGGTTGTTTGCGGGTTTTACATTTTCACAGTGTATGAAGAAATGCTAAAAGGACTTCTTCTCGGCGAATTTGGTTAAGTGAGGTTAAGTTTAACAATTTAACACATTTTTAATCCCACAAGTGCCTCTCATTTCTGTGATCTCCTGTACCAAATTATAGTTTTGTATCTTAATTAAGTGCTTAGTATGTTTTCGTTTAAAAGCGTTTTGTTGGCGTGGCAGTGGCCCGATACACTACCTGCAATGCAAATCCCCCGTGGATGCCAAGGAATATGTGAACCAAGTTTCATCAAGATATTTCAATTTTCTCAGATTTCTATATTCATCATATTAATGCTGGGAAAGGCACGTATCGTATACCAACTTTTTGTACCAAATATATATATAATATATCCTTGCTTTATTTATATGATATATATAAGATAGGTCAAAAAAACAGGCAAAACAAACATAGAAAGGCTATCTCTGAATTAAATTAAGACAACTCACATATTGACCAATATATGCACTATAAAGTCAACCGGAAGTAGGAAAATCTTAATAATAAGTATTTGAAAGTTAGTGGAACTATTGACCCGGTTTTACTCGTTATTATATCCTAAACATTTATTGTGTTAAGTCAAACTTAGGCACTGAGGTCCATGTATTCGATATCTGGGGGCTTTAAAATTTATGTACCGATTAACACCATTTTTGGTTCAGAGATGGCATACCATGAACGCACAATAAGTATTCGTGCAAAATTTTATCCCGATGTTTTCACTGGTTTTTGATTTCCAACTGTAAAATGGAATTTAAAATTGTGATGTGTGAGAAGTTGGCTTGATTGTAGGCCATTTTCGTTAATTATCATAACGTAATATAAAATTTCGAGATTATATTATACATTAAATTTGGTTGAAATTGGTTAAATACTTCCTGAGATATGAGAATCAACTAAAAGTGGGCAGTACCACGCCCATTGTACAATTTTTACATCGAGTCTTATGCAAGTCTTTCGTACCATCTTAAGTGTGAAATTTAATGCTTTTGAGATGTTTTTTGCCGAAGACATACATACGAGGGCGTTCCGATGAGTTTTCAACGTCCAAAATAAAAACTAAAATTTTGGAAAAATTGCGATTTATTTATCAAAATAGTATTTTTTATTTCGATAAAGTCTCGGAAGTCTAAAACTTTGTGGCGGCGATAACCTGCTTATTCGACTTAAGCTTCTGCCCGGAGTATGACTTTTCAAGTCCGGAAACAAAAAGAAGTCGACCGGGGTAATACAGTATACAGTATACTGTGTGGTGGTTGCCACACCGAATTCGTACAATTTGATCGACCATGGCAGAGTTATGAACCGATGGCACTTCTCTGCTATTCGGCAACAAATTGGGTCAGCAACTCGTTAAACCAATTTTTGACAACCGCTATCAAAGAAGAAGAATCACTCTGTACAATATCCAAGCACTCTTTGATATCTCTGCACCATTTCCTTTCTACAAAAAGCTTCTCCCCGCGGTCAAAACTACGATTTCAATTCGGCTGAAATTGACAGCAATTGTCTACGAGGCGCAACGGTCGGTGAAGCTAAGGTCTTCACGTATAAAATGCTCGTTAATAAAATTCAATTATGGTTTAAATAAAACGTTTGATACACAATTATTTTCATAGATATAAAGAATTTTCTAACAAGAAATAATTTCAGAAAATTTAGTAAATTTTGTGAACACATCGGCCGAAATTGTAAGACCACGAAATAGTTAATAAACATTTTTTTTAATGTTTATTAAATAATCAACAAAAAGCCGAAGGAATCTATAAATTTCTTTTTCTGCTTCTCATATGTGAATGCCACTCATGTGGAGCAAATCGTTAAAGTAATAGCCATTAACAATATTACCTAGCTGAGTCATAAAGCCATTGTTTACAAAATTATTAGTGATTCATTTAAAAGGTATATTTCCGTCAAAATGTAAACTATAAAAAAAAAATTTTTCGAATATTTTTGCAATGAGTACCCTAAGCTAATTCTGATAAGAGAGTCATTAGCGGCTTGTATTCCTGC